ACCTTCCCTTACACCTTGTTCTTTCACGTGAGGTAAGATGCTTTGGGGAAGGACTTTCCCCAAGAGCCAAGCAGAGGACCTCAGCTCTCTCCATTTGTTTCTTGCTCTCCATACCTCTCCTCTGGAGGAGTTCCCAGCCTACGTCTGGAGGACAGCTGGCCAAGTTTGGTATTTAACAGGACAGAGGAGCTGCAAGGCAGCTTAATAACTCAATTGAGTTACACTCCAGGGCCATTTGTGCCAATGGAGAAGGAGAAGGCACCAAAAAATGGGCTGCTGGGGTGAGAGGTGGGGAAAGCCTCAGGACCACTGCAAGGAGCAGCTATCGTCACTGTGGGAAAAGCACACAACAGTGAGATGGAGATGTCTGACAGGAGATGGGAACAAGCTTTCCTCTGTCCTATTTCCAGATCCCATCTGCACATTGCCTGTGCTGAAAGGTAATGCAGAGCTCAGATCTGTTCTGAGTTATTTCGGCGAGGAATGTCTGGCTTTTTATGGTTGTTTTAATTGGTGACAGTACTCACTGCTTAGTGTGCTCAGTCTGGCATCACTGCCCTCCCATGTCCAGCTCACAACATCCCCAATGCTCGTCTTGCCTCACAGCTACTGCCTCGTCACCACCCTCTCCCTGTCCAGAGAGTTGAAAGAAGTTGAGAAGTGAGAAAATCTTTAAAGCAAAACTGAATTCCAAACTTTTTATTTTTTCATCCAAACCAGTAACAAACAGTTCAGTCTGTTCTTTCACACACAAAAGATTTTGTTTCTGTGACAGTGTGTACATGCAGGACAGCAGGCTGTAACAAAGGAGACCAAGTTACACACCTTTGCACAACATTTCTTGCAAGTATTCCAGAGAAATTTTACTACCAATAATGATACCTAATGTGCAATACATTCAGAAGAAAGCAGTTAGTGTGTTTTTATAAGCGAGGCAAGCAGACTTATGTGCTTGGCAAAGAAAATACGTTGGTAATAAGGTCAATCTCTTGCCTAGCAACTTAAACACAACTCTTCCAACCCACCAAGCAACAAAGGTATATCAAAGCCTTCAGATCTAGAGCAGGCTCACCTCAAAGTGCACAAAGCATGTAAAAGAACCTATGGGATTTACTATCCACCTCCTTCATTTCACCAGACAGCCTTGTCTTTTCCCTCCCCGTACTGCAGATGGAAGAATAAGTATGGGCTAGTGAACTCCAGGGGAAGGTCTTCTTTATCAAACAGCTCCACACTGCAACTTTCTCATTCTTGCACTGATCCTACATTGGACCACTTTTTTGATCCATTCCCCCTCTCTTTCCCCAACAGCTGCACAGTTATTCAGCTATCCTAGAAGTGCATGGAAAAATCCATATTTTTCTTCCCCAACTTAAACATTTGCTATGACCCAAGAGATGCTACCTAAGGATGACACATGTCCCCAGTCATACAAGAAGTGGTATTTTGGGCCATCAGTTGCCAGAAAAGAAGGGGAAGACTGAGGATGGTGACAACCACCTCCTTCCGTTTGTATCCTTCGAGGCACCATGCCTCCATCCCGTCTTTAAGTCACTCTCAACATCATCCCATGTGTTCTGCATTGCTAGAGCACGGTAGGCTGCTAAACCTCTGTGTCAGTCATGGAGAAAGTACTTTCCTTTCATCCCTGCAGGCAGTCTTTTGTGGAGAGGCCAGGGAAACATCACAGGACAGCACCGTTGCTATCAGCAGAAAGAATCTCTGCTGCTCAGTGCTCCCTTTCTCCCACCTGGCATTGCCATCCAAAACCATCACTCCAAAGAGTAGGGATGTTACGTAAGGCTGTGAGGTGAGGATACAACTTACGACCTTAAGGAACAGTGGGAAAGACTACCAGCTACTCTTCATCATTCCTAGCTGGACTGCTAGGAAAAATGGGTCAAGGTTTTCCAAGGTGACCCTCAACTTCCAATGGCTAAATTAATGTGAGTTCAAAAACCCTAGAAGGATGGTTTCGGAAAAAATAAAATCACCAGTTATCTGGTTGCAAGGAATAAAAAGAAAATGAAAGCAGACAGCTGTGACTTTCAAGGTGCTCGCAGTCAATCACCTCAGAAAAAAAAGTTATCTGAAATCTCTGAAAAAAAAATCCCAAGCATGCTGTGCAAAAACCAATGGAGGAAACCTCATGGGTAAATAACTATCCGGCGCGCACAAGAGCACGGCTCTCAGGATGCATGTGTGTTTCTACTGCGGGAGAGAGAACAATTGAATTACGAGGAGCTCTTAAGCAAGTAAAGTAAACATCTTTTGGCAATTTAGTGCTGCACTTTGAAGCGTGGCTATGTCATACAAATGGTGAAATAGCACGGACACCCTTCTGCTGGCTAGTTTGTTTAATATGGTGAGTTGGGAGCTTGGGGAGCGCAGTGCTCTTTTATGAGCTCAAGAGCTGGAGGAGGGAAGGTGTAGAAGGAACAGGAGAGGGATTTTGGAGAAACCTACAGCTTCCCAGAGCCAATGGGAAGGATCCACTGTGAGAGCCCACAGCATCCGTGGGGCAGCCACTGCCACCCAGGGATCAGACCCGAGCAGCCTCCGCTGTGGGGCAGTGGGACAGGGAATAATCACACAAGAGGGGTTAATTGCTATAAATATCAAGAATCAAATCAATATGTCAAGATGTGTGTTCCACTTTTTGCATGTATGCGGCGTGTAAATGAGAAACGGAGAGAGAGGGAGGAAGAGCTAGAAAGAAAAAGGAGAGACTACTAAAGAAATAAGCCCCCCTGTACAGACAGCCTGACGCCAGATGGCTTCTTCTAATAAATATTCAACCTTAACTCAGTTCCCATGTAACTTTGTTGTAAAGCTGCCAGCACACCCACACAGATCTGGGCCAGCAAAATGATTACAGTAGTACAAACAAAATAGTGCAATAGAGGAAACAGGCAGACAGGGTCCTGTATACAGAAAGACAGAGCTGTAAAGATGTGAGTTGATGAACCTTTAGATTTAATACTGAGAAACTTAAAATAATGACTTGGGGAGAGGGGAGGGAAAAAAACAACTAAAAAAATAATAAACAGGACTTATTTTTTCCTCACTGTTACTTTTATTGTTGGGCATACGCAGAACATCCTTCTGTCAAGACAGAAAATGAGGCTCTGCACATTAGTTGCTATTCTGCATGTTTTCCCTATTCAGCTGGAATTCAGATACCTGGCCTGAAATCATCATCCAGCTTAAATTTCCCATTGCCCATCCTGCTCACACAGGGCATAAATTTAAAAGGAAGATTTTGTGCATGGGATTTTTTATTGTGACATTTGTTGTTATTAATTGGGAAAAGGAAGAGATTTGGTGTATTTTTATTAGGAAAACACTGGCTCGGTGCTCAAAAACAAGCAATTCAGTTGTGAGAGTGTTTTTGCCTCAAGCTCTTTAATTTCAAAATTGGATTATGAGATCTGAATATCAGAGCACACCATGTTGGCAACCCCAAAACTGTTTAAATAGGACCCAGACCAAATTCACAATCTAGCGCTGGGATTAAGAGGAGGAAAAGGGCAATGAAAAAAGGCCAAACTGAACAGACAGATGCTTTGATGGAAGACAAAAAAAAAAAAAAAAAAGAAAAAAAACAAGATGCAATTAAAATAACTTAAGAAGCTAAGGATTCAAGATACTGATTTCTTGGATCTGTTTCATGCAGTAGATCTCAATTTTAGTGGATGAGAAAAAATGTGCATGGTCAGCTCTAAACTTCTACCTGCAGTTAAGGTGGTTATTCAACAACCATTCCTGTGCCATCAGGTCAGGTATGTAAAACTATGCATTTACATGCCTGAGAATGCAGCTTTTGATGCTTCAAGCTAACTCGTGGTGCTCCTGGAAGGACATCATTTCAGATGATACAATAAAATAGCAATAGAATCAATAAGACAGAGTTTAAAAAAAGAAAAGAAGTGATGGTGGGGGGGAAGTAGGCTGAACGTCAGAAAGCATTTCCTGGTTGTGAGCATTTCCCTCTGCAAAGCAGATCGACAAGGAGAGGCTGTGGAGTCAGGCTTTCACTGCTCCCCTCGGGAGATTGTCACTGTGGAGGTTTTAAAAACAAAGCTGAACTCAGCACTAGTAAATGTGCTGCAGGGAATAACCCCGCATTGGGCAAGAAGTGGACAAGATCAATTAACGGATCTCTTCTATGTCTACTTTCTATTATTCTTGACTGTTAGAAGAAAACTTTGTGAGGGAAGAGCCCAGAGCTCCCTCCCTCACTTGTCTGAGAGCAGACTGCATTACGCTGCACGCTCATGTCTGAATCTCTGTTCACTACAAGTGCTAACTCTCTCCCATCACTTTTGCTCTTCTTGCCCTTGATTCCCACTACTACTGAGAAGCACTGGAAAGAATTTCCCAGAGAGAAGACATTAAAAAAAAGAAGGGGGGGGGGGGGGGGGGGGGGGG